GATTTCGAAAACGTTTTTTGGTTTGGCCATGTTTGTTTGTTGTAGTAGTGCGGCGTTGATGGCTTTAATCTAAGTGTCTTGTGGTTGTTGTTGTTGTTTGGCTTGCATCCCACTGGGATTTTTGCACACAGCGTTGGTGTACGGTGCTTTTTCGGGAAGATTTTTGCAGTTTTTTTCCTGGATTTTTCTGTTTGATCAAGAGTCACTTTAATATGTTTTCTTGTTCATGTTTTTGTTTGTTGCGGTTGCACCCGATTCAAGAGCCGAATGGCTCACAGGGCTATACCAAATAAATGAAACTGAAAACTGAAACTGAAACGAGGGTTTTTTTTTGGGGGGGGGAGGGCGGCGTCAAAGCTAGGGGCATTCACGTCACGGGCCTCCTGTCAGACTCTTTGAATCCGCGATCACACGCTGAACATTGACCACCAGAAAACGTGGCTAGGGCGTGCAGATCAATGCGGTGGCCTTCAGTGTCACTCTCGAAAGGGGGCCCTCATTAGCCCCCCCCCCCCAACCACCGGCACTGACAGCAGCAAACCTCTGCAAATGTCGAAAGGTCTCTCTCGGGTGGTAAACAAAGCGATCATTGCCAAAATGTGTATCGACTACAATTGTCAGGTGCTGTGTGGAGATGCGTAGTGGGATACAGAGCAAACTCCCCGAGGACACACACAAGTTTTTTTTTTAGTCCATCACTCAAACTTAATTTACTGATCGTCCCAGCTGCATAGCCAAGCAAGGATCCAACGAGACAATGAAAGGGTCCATCGAGACAATGAGAGGATCCATCGAGACAATAAGAGGGTCCATCGAGACAATGAGAAGGTCCATCGAGACAACGAGAGGGTCCATCGAGACAATGAGAGGGTCCATCGAGACAATGAGAGGATCCATCGAGACAATGAGAGGGTCCATCGAGACAATGAGAGGGTCCATCGAGACAATGAGAGGGTCCATCGAGACAATGAGAGGGTCCATCGAGACAATGAGAGGGTCCATCGAGACAATGAGAGGGTCCATCGAGACAATGAGAGGGTCCATCGAGACAATGAGAGGGTCCTCGAGACAATGAGAGGGTCCATCGAGACAATGAGAGGGTCATCGAGACAATGAGAGGGTCCATCGAGATAATGAGAGGGTCCATCGAGACAATGAGAGGGTCCATCGAGATAATGAGAGGGTCATCGAGACAATGAGAGGGTCCTCGAGACAATGAGAGGGTCCATCGAGACAATGAGAGGGTCCCATTGGACCCTCTCATTGTCTCGATGGACCCTCTCAATGGGACCCTCTCAGGGTGCGCCGTTACTGTGATTACCGTAGGATGTGAACATGCCCTGTTTGCCTCTTTGTTTATAAAGGGCAAACAGTGATTACATCTGTCGGGGCAAGCGCAGTCACGACACATGACTCACACTCGCTAATGTGCGCAATCCCCACACCAGCCCCCCGGCATTAACAATATTAAGGTATATTTAATATTATTCATAAAAAGAGTTACAAACAACAGACGCAGACTAAACAGATGTATTTCCCGTGGGGTGCTGATCGTTTGTGAACAAAATGAGAGTCCTATTTATAATTTAAGTGCATAGTCATCCTTCGCGAAATACAAAGTACTCTGCAGCCCCTTGAATTGTTTAATAATTGTATTTATTGTCGCCTGCTACCCAATTCTGTTCTAATTTGTTATTGACGTCATGTCGTGAGAGAAATCATCTATCCGGAGCTCGTGCAGAGCGGTGTATTACCTATCATGGGGCCTTATTTGCCACTGTCAAAGTATAACAAACGAAAATAGGTTTTACCCTTTCTGGAACTAAAACAGGTGTTAAGATGTTCAAGCACCATGTAGATATATGTTGCAAGGGATTAAGTCCGCATAAAGCACACCTCCTTGTGGTGAATATGCAAGCAAACATCGCCTCTGATAATAAATTCATTGCCTTTGAAACGGATCGGCGTCCACCAGAGACATCCTTCTTACCTAGTCTCACCACCAGTGTCAGACCAGACAACGACTCCAAAAGGCGAACAGCACAAAGACAATGCCACACGTGTCAGAGCATTCAAAGCTCGGAATGAGCAGCTATAGCATGGGGCCTTTTTTTGCCAGTATCAAAGTATGAAAACTAATAATAAGCTTTACCACCTGGTGTTTTATTGCCTATTTAAAATGTTCATTCATTGCCTCTTTTAAAAAAGATATGAGACTCCACTTTTCCACCAACTCTGCTGTGAGACAAACGTTCGATTCATCACAGGCAAATACATTCGCATAGTTTTAGTTTAATCCTGAGGGCTGGATTCTTTTTTTACTTAAGTTTAAATGTCAAGAAATGTGTAGGAGTGTGTTATTTTAACTGTCGCAGTGATACCATACGAAGCTGTTTGGATTTATTTCGTCTGCTTCTTGCACCCTTGCATCCATATCCCACAGGGCGCCCGAGTAAGGCAGAGGTTTATGGTTATCTCACCGGTTTTATATGAGGAACATTAAGTCAATATTAAAAACAGTAAACATGAAGCCATCTTTGAGAGGTCTGAATAGGAATTGCCTCATTTCGTGACACCCCTCCGACAGCGCTGTTGAAATAGGAAACCACAACCCCAAAAACCAAAAGATATGATTATTGGGCGCCGCGGTGGCTAGGAGATGTTAACTCCCTCGCCTGATATGCAGGAGGTCGTGGGTTCGATCCCGACCCTGACGCCTGCGTGTCTCTCTCCCCGTGGCTGTGTGGATTTTACTCCGGGTCCTCCGGTTTTCCCCTCCACATTTAGAATCAATGCACATTTCGGAGTAATTTGGCTGCTGTAAATTTCCACGTGATGATGATGATGAGCTACTTTGTCCAGCCAACAATTGTGGCCAGGTCGCGATTACACACTCAGCGGGCGGAGCGGTGGCGCAGCGGTTAAAACGCTGTGCTGTGAGCCCGGCCACGGACAACGACCGTCAGTGGTGATTGATATCGACTCCGGCCCTGGGCCTCCTACGCCACCTTCACCAAGCTGCATGTGACCAGCGTGGTGAAGTATAGCCAAACAACCTCCGTGGTCAACTTGTAGGCTTGTCGCCTCCGAGCTACAATAAACCGAGACGTATCATTCGAATAAAAAAATAAAGACAACTCAATACATTCGTCCGTAACATTCCGTACCATAAATGTAACAGAATATATCATAGGCGACATTTGGGGCAAAATCCCTGCTGTAATTACGCACCGTAACATAACTTTCGACCACGTCGGCCTCATGAGCGCGCACGCGAGAGCGTGTTTTAAGGTCTACGCGTGCCTCACGCCCTATCTTATCTATCCACAGAGCACATTTGTATCGGTGAATGACACTGATGAAGTGCAGGCGCATGTGCGCGTGCAATGCGGGGGACGGGGGGGGGGAAAGAAATTCGGGAGAGAACGAAATCCGCTTCACGGATCGCGAGGCCGGAGAGGTCAAGTCCACGGGATGACTGAGGACGCGCCGGGTACCTGTTCAGGTCGAGTAATATCCTGGGTCTGGGATCACAGCCACCCCCCTGCACGTGGTCGAGCTCAATTCTCCCTCCCCCCCTCCCCCCGCGACTTTGGAAACAGTGAATTACAACAGCATCGATCGTCCCGTTGGTGACGTGGTCACCGCATGTGGTTGCAGCGGCCTGCGACTCGAACAACAAGGCCAGAGCTGCCGCTGCTGCGTTTTGCCACGAGGAGTATTGAAACAAATACCCGACGGATTTTTGTGTTTAGTATTGCTGTCCTTCCACCGCACACCTCTGATAATCACGGTTAGCTACATACGGTGCGAAAGAAGTTCAACATACATGCATACAAAGGCACACCTCGTCACCTTTGTCAATGTATACACGCGCGATACGAGGCCATCATCACCACCACCGTCATCATCATCAGCAGCCACGGTCAAATCCACTGCTGGATGAACGCCTCCTTTGCAAGTCGTTTCCATCTTTCGCGGTCCTGCGATGAAAGAATTTATCGAGCACATGCCCAAGAACCGCACCGTACGTCTCGTTTGTCCTGTCCATCTCATCTGCCCCGTCTGTATCGTCTCTCTCGTCGTCTGTTTGGTCTTTCCTGTTTTGTTTTGCTCACTCGGTCCAACCATTTGCCTAAATTTAACACGATGCAGAACACAATCAATTGCTAATGCATGAAATGTATTGCTTTTGCGAATGCGCCACCTGGAATTCCACCTATCTATATCAGATCTCGACAACCGAAAGAGGGTTGAGCCTGAACAGTGAATGCTTGGATGGGCGTCCACCATGCAACCTATTAATGGGTACATGCCATTGGCCCTGTGCCACAGTGCAATGCCATGAGTGAGAGCCTGACTTACCTTGCTAAGCCCAAGGGATTTAAACACTTCTCAGCCTAAGCCCTCTCTCTCTCACTCGGCCGACTTGGCAGCGATATCTCAGCACTCGGTCCAGGATGGCCCAAAATGGCCCAAAAAACCACTCGGACCTCCACGTGCAGCTCAGGGGGTTACCTCCAGCTCATGGGCATCATCTCTAATGACTTGGATAGATCTGATGCAGCCCACTGCTTGTGTGGGGTAGAGATGGGGGGCAGTGAACTTCCTAGGGTCTGGGTGGTAGTGGTGGTGGTAGTATTGGGATCCTCAATAAGGTGCTTATTCGGGATGTTTGGATATTCAGTTGGAGGATCCTTGTGAAAGACCCAACGCAGGAGATCCTTGGGTTTGATCTTCCACGAAGTTCATGGTTCACCCTAAACCGCATCCGCACACACCATGGCATACGACATATACCGACGCAACGCTCGATCCACAAATGTGAAAAACACGTCACGGCGACACACTCCGCCGCTCCTCACGTGGTTATCTGGCTTGACCACCCGAATGTGAAATTGTAAGATATTGCTCTGCATCTACCGTACGACAGAAGAAGAAGAAGGGTGGACAACGAGGAAGAGAAGCGAGCGAGCGAGGGAGAGCAGGGAGGGACTCACCAGTCGGTCTGCTGGTCGTCGATCACGAGCAGCACCTTGGACTTGCGCCCGGCACTGCCGGAGACGCTGCCGGCCGTCTGCTCCACCAGCCCCGCCGCTGCCGCCGTCGTCTGCCGCACGGCGTTGGACAGGGAGCTGAGGAATCCGCTGGCACCGCTGGTGATGCCACCGCCCGTGCTGCCCCCGCCCGCCTTCGCCTCGCCGCCTGCATGCGGGCAGCCCATCACGGACACGCGCGCGTGGTCCATGTACATGCACAACGAATACGACAAGAGGTCACGCACATTACACACAAAGTGCTTGCCGCAAATGAACCACAATGTCTTGCCGATCTCGTCAAGGATAACAAACCACAACGCGAACTCGCAGCGGCTATTGGCTGGCCATCGAACAAAGATGGTCACTGCATCGCGCAGAACTTTGAGATGCGCCTCTGCGGCCGTCTGGAATGCTCTCTTTCTTAATATTAGGAAGCCACTGGAGCAATGCACTTTTAAATGTAGATTGACAACTCATTTCTTTAGAACTGATTTCTCTGTATAGTTTGTTGTCATTCCCCCGCACCTCCGATTAGCGCCAGTGCCGGATTACCCTCGTAGCAAAAGTAGCAAATGCTATGGGGCCCGCACTTTCAAGGGCCCCGCGCTAAATGCTTTAAAGCTATCAATTTCGGTTCAGTGATTCTGCACTTGCTCTATTACTATAGTACTATTCTGCCTTCAACTTTTTATGAACGACCGGGTGTTGAATGTTAGCGATGTATTATCTCTACAGCCAGATGTATTATCTGGCTGTAGAGCAAAATGAAAAATACAATTACTTTACTATGCAAGTAAAAAACGTGTGTTTCAATATTGTTGTGGGTTTATTAATTTTAGGGCCCCTTTACAACATATTCTACAGGCCCCGCACGAGCTTAATCCGGCACTGATTAGCGTGGTTGGCTACATACAGTCATGGGACACCGCCGCAAAGGCACCGACATGGACGCGCCGCCACAGAAACATTTCCACAGCTGCCATCGTGACAATTTCAATTCCAGCACTCAAGTGCCGCTGTTGGCTCCATCTCTGCAATCTCCTCCGATCCTCAGTTTACTTTCATTGAAATACAGGCGTGTGCCTTGCGTCCGGCAATCACAGGATGCCATACTCGTTGGTTGAGCGAGATTAAGTAAATAAATCGATAAAATAGTGTGCAGCCCCTTCTCGATCCACTGCTGGATGAAGGCCGTCCAGCGTTGTGTTTATTGATCATCACTGGGCTGCAATAAGCTGGTCCACGCGGAGGGAGACCCAGGACAAGTTCCTATATCATTCGCCTTAAACTAGATGGCTGAGTGGGGTTGAGAAGGTCACGGTTAATAAACTAGAAACATTTAAGGAGGAATGCCTGGACCGGGAGGACTCGACACAAGCCTGGGAGTGGAATCACTAAAGGTCGATAATTACCTCCAGACAATGAACAGGAATTCAAGCAAAACAGTAGTCGAGCGAGTCAAAGAGTCCAAGGAGTTTCCCCCAGCACCCCCCTGGCCCCCTGCCCCCCTGCCCGCCTGCCCCCCTGCCCGCCTGCCCCCCTGCCCACCTGTCCCCCTGCCCCCCTGCCCCCCTGCCCACCTGCCCACCTGCCCACCTGCCCCCAGATTGAACCGGGGATCCATTGTCAACGTGCTGTTATACGATAAAAGCGGACATGAAATAACAGCGGACACTTCGAAGTGGACGTGCCTTTGTCCATATATGGGACTAGGACGTCAAAGGGGGCTTGTGACAGAAATAGCTGTGTTAAAGTCAAAGTTTACCTATCAACAGAGGCATTTAGTATATGGACGCTAAAGGCCTCCAACTACCCAACTATCGTACAGTAAACGGATTTGAAAAAAACTAAATCTATATTACATCAATATAATAAATGTACTTAATATATTCTTCAATAAGCTGGGCTATTAATCACAAAGCAACTGGGTATACACTACACTATATGAAACGCCTTGCCTCTCATCGAGCTTAAAATATACTCATTATATAGTGTAGTGTATACCCAGTTGCTTTGTGATTAATAGCCCAGCTTATTGAAGAATATATTAAGTATATTTATTATATTGATGTAATATATACTTAGTTTTTTCACATCGGTTTACTGTATGATAGTTGGGTAGTTGGAGGCCTTTAGCGTCCATATACTAAATGCCTCTGTTGATAGGTAAACTTTGACTTTAACATAGCTATTTCTGTCACAAGCTAATCCCTCAGCTATTTCAATGCTAAATTCTCGTGCTTTGATACTTAAACTCCTTTGTCAAGATGTTTCACGCCTCTCACCGAGCTTCAAAGACGCTACGAATCTTAGCAACGCTCATTGAAGCACTGTCGTCCCGACAGTTCTGTTCTTTCACCTGATGAAGGCTACTTGTGTTGTGGCCGAAACGTCGTGAGAATTTTATTGTCTTACTTTATTATTTTATTCTCATTCTACGTGACTTTACCGAAAGAACCAAAGAAGATGTTTAGTGTCAGTCTGTCCTAACACGAGACGAGACTACTATGTTGATTCGCTACGTCAAAAAAGTGTGTTTATGCCTTTAAACAAGAGTTTTTACAATGTCCGATTTCATAATATACATATTTAAAATTCCACGGGCAAATCAGTGAGCAGAATCAATAGTATGTAATTACTGCAAATGCTTATATCCTGGATCGAGATGGTAACGTCATAGTCAAGTGTCATGCCCCCTCATTCCCCCTTCTCTGATTGGCTAAGCGCCACTTTTATTTCAGCCCGCTTTCACCATAGTACACAGCGCTGCGGTCACGCCAGCGGCAGGCAGCTGCTTCAGGAGTCATAACGGAAATGACATCAGTTTTACACGAAGCCTTTCACTACCAATACTAACCTCCTTGCGCTAGTTTATAAATCTCTCCGCGGCTTTGCCCCAACGTACGTCCCCTCCCAATCTCTCCCACTCCTCACCGTTCCCCCCTCAACTTGTGCACAATCACCGTTTCCGCTCCTTTTCCCTACTCGCCCCCTTGCAATGGAACAAACTTCCCCACCACATTCAGCGAGAAGCATCTCCCTTTCTCGTTTCCGCTCCTCCCTCAGGACCCCACCTCTTCTCCCTGGCCCATCCTTCCCTCCGTCCCGAGGTACCCCAGTAATTCTTGCTTTGGATAAAGGCGCAATATAAATATAAGATAACATAATAAAGGTGTTTTTTTCTGGTTTAGATTGTGCAAGGATTATCCATAATTCTGGCTGTCGCCTGATGAGCCTGGTTGTAATTACCGGCGAAACATCGTAATCGAATTTAAAATGTGGGTTTACTTTCCAACACACCGGTGTGCTGAAGTCGAAACTAATTGACATGTTTTGTTTACTTGATAAACCTTACTAATTGCCTGTGTCGAGTGGTGGCGCGTTTAATGACATTCATATTTACGCGATATAATAAAAAAAAACTCTTATGGAAATGACATCACCTCGGGAGAAGCCGTTCCATTCGCTTTCGCCCCCCTCTTATTGCCATTTGAAAACTATATATGTTCACTGTGCTTGTACGAAGATAAGAAAAAAACATAAAAGAATCCCATGCCAGCATCAGTTAATCTGGATGACTTCAGACATGAAATAATGTTCATTTGCGTGCAAAACCAGATTTGGGGACGCGGGGAAACTTAAAATCCTTCAAAGCAATAAGACCTTTGCTGAAATCAGATTCGCTCGTGGAACTTTCTGCTCTCTTGCCGTGGTGTGTCAGGGAAAAGTGTTGTCTCTGCCAGAGCGTGCTCGGGACAATCTTCCTCTACACTATTAAATGCTACATGGCGTGCGTAGCAGCTTGTACAGCCGCTCATTTAGTGGCCTGGGATGGGAATTCGTGCATGCCTGTGCATGTAATTGTCCCGGCTGAGTTAACACCTCTGCAAAGAAGACTACCCCCTCCCTTGAGCCGAGAAGATATTGACGCATTGCTGCAGAAGCTGAGGCGCTCAACAATGGGACATTACGGGGGACACGTAGCAAGTCTATTACTCCACTTTGCACCAGAATATTATTCATCGCTATGACTTCGCAAGTCCTATGGTGATCGTCGAGGAGAGATGGAGGTAGCAGAGCGAGGGTGACACCGGCCAGCGGCCAGCCAAGAACCAGCACGCAGGTGGCTCCAGACTTTCTCCGGTTGTTCGTCTGCCAGACAGGAGCGGCAGTGGCGTCTGGTGGCACCTCGAGCGAATGATCGGCCCTCCTTCTTGGGGATCGCTCAACACTGGCGAGTTCTATATCGTGCGGCCGACGAAAGTTACAGACCGTAGGCCACGTGGAATGTTTCTCTCACTCGTGGATACCGGGAGGAGCGTAGGGCAGAGGACGTCTCCCGCTGCGCGTGACCTCAGCAGATGTGTAAGATGGTTATCACTGCCATAAGTGAGACCTGGCTCACAGATAGGGGACAGCTGACTGATATCGGCTGAGGCTACACCTGCACACGAGAATCGTACCCACGGTGTGGGATTTTTCCCTTCGCGGTAACATCGTTGACATGTTGGTTGATATCCTGGTGGGCTTCGATGAGCAATCTCATGTCCTGTTGAGTAGCTGTCAGCGGCAATGGTTTTGTAACCAAGATCAGCGCCTATGTCACTACTCTATATTCTCCTACAGAGCTAAAAGAACACCTTTACAGTGACCTAAGCAGCTCGATTTTCTCAGAACCCAGCAGGGACAAGAATGTTATTTTTGGCGACTTCAACACTCGTGTTCGAAAGGATCACCAGATGTGGCCTGGTGTCATCCAGCCATACACACGATTGTACTGGCAATGGCATTCTTCTACTTTCCCTCTGCACCAGCTGGATATCACCAACGCTCCTACACCATTAGCCAGACGTATACAAGACCTCTTGGCTACATCCTAGGTCTAAGCACTGGTGGCTCTTAAGACGACGTCACTCACTGTGCGTCAGAGAGACACTGGTGACATCCGCATCACCAAGGCGATGTGTGGGGCAGATTGTCGAACAGACGATCGTTTGATTGACTGAAAGATGGCTGTCACTATCACATCGTAAGCGGCGTAATCGACGCCAAAAGGGGCTCAGTGAGCGGCGGAAATGCAACCTCGAGGCAGCCTGCAGTGAACATGGTGACTGACAAATCTCGAGTCCGACTGGGCTGACTTCAGGTTTCCAGTCGGCCGAGTTTCTGCTGCTGATCATCCTAGGCTGCAGCCCATGGCACCATTAAGATTGATCTGGCAAGGGCAATGGAGAAATCGAGGCTTTGCTTGCTGAGAAGGAAGCTCTCGAGAGCCGCTCCACGCGGAATCTTGGGCTGCGCCCCGTCCTTCACTGGCCAGACGTCTTGGAAGAGGTGGCAGAAAACCCACATCTTTGAATTGGTAATGCTCATTAATGCGTTAGAGCAAGTCTCATTTACATTTAACAACGTGCATATTGAATTCAAATTTCCTGCGGGAGGCATGGAACGCATACAATACAGCAAGGTCACAAAACCTAGAGAGTCGGGTCAAAAAAAACAGAGAAAGTTGACGTCATTTTGTACTTATTCCTGATCTCTGTCCCAAAGGGATTTTGAGTGAGGAGTGCACAATCTGTTAAGTGGCCCGCTCTCACCAGTTTGTCGAGGGGGTGAATAGCCCCCCCCCCGCCATAACCCCTCCTTGCCTCCCTCCACCTTCACCGCGTCACCGCCAATGGCAATTGGCGACAACGAGCGTGGGGCTCTGCGCTTCGAGCGTGGGGCTTCCCGTGAGAGAAACCGCACCTAAAGCCGTGAAATGTGTTGGCAGCCCAGTGCTCAGCGAGGGCGCCCATACCATTTACTGATGCCCATTATTGGCGTTTTAGAAGATAGATGCCACCGATGTTGAGGTCTAAAATTTCAGGGCGAGTGGTCAAAACAATTAAAAAAAACCTAATGTGGTGCCAAGAACATGCCAGCGGGGGGGGGGGGGGGGGCTGCAGGCACGGAGATAAGAGGCTGCTGGCAACCGAGATGATTACAGCCACGAGTCCCCCATCTGTCAGTGAGAAAAAAAATAACCTACTCTGTAATTTTTTGTTTTGTTATTATTATTGTGGTAAGGTAAAAAGCATCATATCTCTATATTATTTGTTGACGAACTTAGCGCTGTGTGTGTATAAGATGCGGTGGGCATGCTGGCTGTCTTGCATGTGGGTGATTTTTTTTTAATCTATGGGACCTTTTAGCCAGTATCCAAACTGATGAAAAATAAGAATAGGTTTTACCGTTTCTGGCAATACAACAGGAGGTGTTAAGATGTTCACACAACAAATAGATACCTGTTTTGCAAGGCATTAAGTCTGCATTAACCACACGTACTTGTGGCGAAATCCAAGTTTGAATTTTGAGAAAACGCAAACGAGCAGCATAAAATATGCCACAATGGGACGAAGAGACAATTTTATGGGCCCTCATTAAATTTTGACAGCAAGGCAAAGGCTGAGATCGGCACGAGCTGTGTCAGTTAATTGTCACCGATATATAAAACTCCGATTAGCAGGGTAGGCTACGATGTACAGTGCGAAATTATTTCAACATACATACAAAACTCGTGGCTAGCTCACTAGTTTTCAAAGGGAACGGCGCTTATTCTGTAGGGCACGTTGCCTGCCGTGAAAGTTCTTTCACCAGAATAATTCCACAAATACTTCCTCGGATTTTTAGTTTCATCTCGTCCCAATAAAGCCTCACGGCTATAATTTCGCAATGGGACCTGTGTCGTGCACCAGGGCATTGTAAACGGTCGCGTGCGAGCAGAGCTTTTGTTTCACGCGGGGGTTGCCGCCACCTCCGCCCCACCTGCAACATTTACTCCGGACGGATCGATAGGCGACTGCAATCGATATACCCGGCACTGTCGTCGATGAAACCCGGCGTCGGCGGAGGATCTCATCTCACCTCCGGACGACTGGGACAGGCGGCGCTGCTCTCCTGGCTGCGGCGTGGCGGGCGACTGCGCCACGGGGGACACGGACGCCGCTGGGGGCGCCGCGCCGGAAGTGGCAGCCGCAGAGCCAGCCGGGCCCACTCCGGCCCCGGTGCCACCGCCGCTACCGCCACCGCCGCTCCCGCCACCGCCACCTGGCTGTGCCGGGCCCCCCGATGGCGACACGGAGGGAGGCGGTGCCTGTGCCGGGTCTGGCCTCTGCAGGTCCATCATGTAGCCGTTCGGCAGGTTGGCCATGAAATTGCTGTCAGAGAGGCGTCTTCTCAGGAAATTCATGGCTAAGCCTCTTTATTGCCTCTCGCTCTTCAAAGGAACCTCGAGATGTGTTTAGTCGAAGGGTGGTGAGAGAAATAAAAGGAAAAAGAAACGAAAATTATTTCTTCCAAGTATATTTTCAAAGGGACCAGCGCTGAATATTTAGGGCACGTCAACTATCGTAAAAGTTATTTCATCAGAATAATTCTACAAACTTTCCTCGGATTTTTGTTATGCCAATAAAGCGTTTTTTTAAAAGACGAAATATTTATTTATTTAGCGCATAGCGTCGCTCTTACATTCCAGCATTAAATTATAATAATTTGGACTTGCAGCGACTGTGAACGTTTGGCATATTTAAAGAACGGGGAGATTGTGCGTCTGCGGGTTTTTGTTGTTGTTTTTGAGAGCAGTCTTCGCAGTCTCTTTGTTCACAATATCTAATTGTGGGGATAATTAACAGGAGAGACGAGGACAATTAGCAGGAGACGAAGATGTGTTGGCTGTGGGAACTTGAGCTCGATGTGTTGGCTGCCGATCGCTGTCACGGACATCTGCGCACAAAAACACGGATGGGGGGGGGGGAGGACATGCACTGAAAAATTTGGACAGCAAAAAAAACGCAATCGCAAATAATCTATGAGATTCGTTCGTCACAAGGTAATGTTGCGCACGCCGTTCTATTGCTAACCGTTACGATGATGAAGCACTTCAATCGGTGATTTGATTTCCAGGTAATCACACTCGGTCACAGCAAGACAATTTAAAATTACAATACAATTGTTAACGTTAAAATCTCCCTTCAATTTTCCGAGTCGGTTAAATCATCTTACTGGGTTAAAGTGCCTTCACTGATAATTCAATGAAATTATTTGGTTATACTGCATTGGCATTGGTGTATAATCCCATAGAAAAGGAAAAAGTACGTGGCCTGAAAATTGTTTTAATATAATAGGTGATGTTTTCGGGCAATGGCCCTTTTTAATAGCAAGTAAATAGAGAGGCCAGAGAGGTAGAGTTAAAGTGATGTTGTCTTGAACTCGGACTTAAACGTGCGCTGAAATGAGTTGCCGTATTTTGTGAGAGCTACGCTAGCCAGTAAAAGGTTGGCTGGTTTTCTGGCCCCGTGCCACATGGGACACGGTACCTGCTCAAAGGACGGGAAAACATTCAGGCGTAAAAAAAATGTTCCCGATGTTTCGCGATGCACGGTGATTTAATTACATTGCAATAGAATTCCACTTACACGGATTGAAACTTTTTTTTCCCAGTAACAATAAAAGCTTTTCCCACTCGGCCCGAGTCTCCCAGCGCCACCTAACCCCATCATTGCAAGGCAGACTGGCAGCGACGTTGGGGGGACCTAAGCAGAAATTAATTTGGGAGGCCTCCTTTAATATTTAGAAAACAATGATATCCCTAGTCAGATGGAGGAAGAGATTTAGACAAGATAGCGACGTAGTGGGGTTAAGCAAATGTACACGACATGAATAGAAAATTCTAGTGAGATGAAAGAGAGATGTAGATTACATAGAAATGAGGCAGATTGATTGGCATCGTGCATTGTTATGTTGATTAGGATTGAGCTGATATTCACGCTGATTTTTTTCTCCCGAATCTGGGGTCCCTTGAGCTACTTTTAGAAACCTCATCATTTGCTTGATTTTCTTTTGCCGAGCGCTACAATTGTTCCTGCTGAATCGACGGTCTGAATAACAGCTCCCCGCGGCTCCTACAGGCAAACCGATTAGCAAACACTTATATAATGGCTGTAAAACAATGCAATCAATAGCAGCCACTCTCTTTAATATCAAAGTTGAGAAGCTTTAGGCTCAGGATTTATTTTGTCAACATCAAAGCCACCACCGGCACCATGTGGATTGGATAAACTCGACTGAAAATTTATTTTTAACTCAATTTCAACAATAAAAAATAATCAGTTTAACACGTGCAGGGACAACTATATAACCGCGATATATTGTCCGCTTATTTATTTTGTTACTTATTGATCTCCACAATGACTTTCATGATAATTTCGTGTTATATATCCGGGCCCGTGTCTTAAAGAGCTCATCCTTGCCAATAGCATCTGGAAGCTCACCGGCACTGGATCAAGCACTGGCGAGACACTGCGTCGAAACCGGTCCAGAGTTTGCTTGTGTAGTGACTGCCTTTGAGACGTAACTTCTTGGGGGCAATTCTTTAGTTAAATACCGAGCACACTGTTACACACTCTCTGCCCGTCACACAACGCTCTGTCTCTCGCTTAAACGCAATTCTACACTGGTTGCTAGCCTACAACACAATGATAGCCGTCTGACGCTGACGGCGCTGAACTGAGAGCCAACTACGTGGCCTTTAGAAATAAAGATTCTACTTACACAAAATGGACGTCTCGAAGGAGCTTCTTTACACTTGTGTAGTGGCATAGAATAAGTAATGTAGCAGCGTAGCGCTGGCTGCTGGCGGCTTACAGCAGCCCTGACGTCAGCAGGCCACGTGATACACCAGAGGGGATATTTGGGGGAAAGATTACAGAAGGGGCACGTGGGGGAAGCCCGGGAACCCGCTGGTAGGTTCTAGAGAGGGGGCGTGGCCGGGGCGGAGCCAGGCCACGCTTGGAGAATAAAAGGGGGCCCTGAGCGAGAGCTCGGGGCTGTCGTTTTTAGTGGGACCCCCGTCGTGCTGTTGAAGATCGTCGCCATCATCGCTGTCGTCTCGTCGCCGCCATCATCTCTGTCGATCTTGCACGGCTAGACGGTAGTTGGCTGTCTCGGTTCAGCACCGTCAGTGTTTGACGGCTCGTGTTGCGTATAGAATAGCAAACGACGTAGAGATGTGTATAAACGAGCGGCAGGAGAATGCGTACCAGCGTATGGTTTGTGTTGTGCAAAGGGTGCTCGCTTGGATAAAAGAAGTGCCTCAAAGTCTTAGCGTCTCCGAGTAAGTCACTACACCTGTATTGAACCAATGCAACTAAAATTATGCACGGAAGAGTAATAAAAAAATACATATGTGAATGATGATATATATGAGGACGATATATTTTCAAATAGTTTTTTTAATGATATTTTGTCCACAGTGTATTATTTGGTTGCATTGTCGGTATAATGTGATACAAGATAAATATGCGCGTGGAAATCTTGCAGAGCATTCGGAACTCACGTGTCCGGGGACGGCTGCGCAAAATATTTTTTTTGCGAACAAAAAAAAATTACGCGAGCGGACCTGAACCGAATTTCACTAATGTGCGCAATTCCAATGATGAAGACCTTCCCGGCAAACGGTAAAGGTGGTGCCCTGCAATTGCTTGGTTCAAGCCACTGCTGACGAAACCTCCGCTGCAGAGAGCTGTAGACAGCTCCGTCCACATTGGCCAGACATCTTGGACGAGGTGTGAGTACTCACACTGTACCCCTCCACACTGAATGTTACATCACTGAAAATAGGAACGCGCTTCGGGTTTACAGAGGGAGAGCACCTGTTATTCCTGCAAATGGAGCTACCTTACACAATGCTGCACTCGATCACAAAGTATGAATCCTTGGGTGATCATTTGCACTTCAGACAGCTTTGGCTGGTGTTTGCTCGTTAACGGCAAACACCTCTGATGGGCTTGGCAATTACAACTTGCCTTGCGCATGCCCCAAATGCATATCAATTAGACGATGCACTGTGTGACCATCCAGCAATGGACTTGCCGTCCTTAAATGAGAAACAAGACAACAACAACAACAAAACAACTGAATATGTCGCAGTAGCTGAGAAATATACTTTGTTTTATATATATGTGACGAAATCAACGTTTTTCCCTTCAGACGAGACGCAGCGTGTGAGCTCAACAGACATTGGGAACTGAGTGGCTTTCTGTCCGACACACAAGCCCCGTGGCACGCTTGCTCCAATCCAGCAGCGGACACTCGCATTTCTCTTTTGACCAAAGCCCTCGTACAAAACATCCACGTTCCCCTCCCCATTATGACCACCACCTGAGCATCCCTGAATACAAGAGGGAGTAGGGGCAACATGCAGATGTGCAACACTTGCGTCAGTCCGCTGTGGGGATGAGGGTATCCTCGATTCCGTGTGGGTCGTGGGGTTTCGTTGAGCATCCGTCACCAGGCCGGTTCAGCGTGGATTGGGGAATGCGGAGAGCCTAGATGCAGGAGCGTACGGCTGCTCAGAAGTAGCTCTGTGAAATCTGCTTCCGCGGGCCATTCTCTACCACGGGGCGATGCACTGCTCTATGAGAGTTTAATGCTGATAGCACAATTTGAATGAAAATTAGCAAAAAAATATATAAATGCAAGTTGTTGGTTTTATTGTAGATAAAAAAAGTTTACATTTTGTTTGTTGTCTTTCTTCATCCGAGTGCTGTGTTTCTGAGAGCACGACTATGCAAAGGACATGATAATGAATGGATTTTTTTGTTCTTAAAATACCTAAATCACATTTCAATCATCGGCTAATTATTCCGTGCGAACAATGCGCAAAAAGACAATGCCCAAGACCTTGCACGAATAATGCCTGCAATTTGCCCAAGACAGCGAGGGCCTCGCTTTGTACGAATTGTACCGACGTCAGCAGAGTTGGCGACCTGCTGAGCGCAACGCCAATTCATTAGCGGCCCTTTGTCAACCCGTTGCTGGATGAAGGCTGCTCAACGATGCTCAAATGTTTTTTTTTGGAATTTTTTTGCAAAGATTATCTGCAAAATTACTCTATTTGGGAGAAAAAAAAAAACACACACACACGTCGCAATCGTCTCGCTCACTGCGAGAGCTTAAGACTGGATCCTCCAGAAAAAAATATTCTTGGGACTCAGTGAGGTTTCCCTGGATAAACAAAAGTAATAATCCCTACTTCTTGTAATGAGAATAATTTCAACTTATAACGCTGGCGAGTTAGTGCGAGTTGGCGAATGGCCGAGGACCTGCCCAGGAACAGTTCGGATATCACTCGCCACTGACGTTAGCCGTGGCCAGGAATTGAACTCGGTCACCGGGTTCAACCCCCAGTGGAGTGCCGCTAACCACCGCATCGCCACCCCTGTCCTCCCTGGACACCCCTACCTCATCCTTCGTCATACTAATGGATGCTTAATCCATTGAGGCACTTCTAATCATAGCTGGATTAGCGCGTGACAGTCGAGGAGAGATAAATGTGAACTCGACACCTTAACGCAAGGTCAGTTATAATAATAATAACCCTCCTCAAGAGGGTCCTTCTTCATGGTTGGAGTGATAGCTTTGCGGATTGTGTTGTCGGAGTAACCATTAGCCTTAAGAGTTTTGTGTACGTGCTTGAGTTCACTAGCTATGTGTTCCTGGTCGGATATGCATTGGGCTCTATGGTGCAGAGTTATGATGAGGGAATTCTTCTGGGATGGATGGTGGTGGGAATCCGGTTTCAGGTAAGCATCCGTATGGATAGCTTTCCTGTAGACAGAGTGGCTCATTGAACCATCATGTCTCTTTTAAAAAATAAAAGATGAGCGTTTTGAATTATATAAATAAAAAAGAGGGATGACATTTTCATCCTCTCAGCCGACAAG